GGCATGGTATACACAGCTTTAGTCCCAGCCCTAAACATACACCTACCATCTGTTACTGTGTGCGTCTGTAAATCAGACAGAGTTCTCAGCACTGACCTTACAAAGCTGTTAAACTGACAAACACTGAGGATGTTCTATGTCCCACAGCACCAAACATTCAGCCAGGTTTGATTATGTGGAAAATGAACAAACAACGCATCTTATTAGTATGCAAACATTGTCTTTTTATAAATAGTAAAATTATGTTTACTAAGGATCCTCCACCCCTTGGACAGGGTCTCATGTAGCCCAGGCTGACCTCAAAGTTGTTATTTAGCTGAAAAAATCACCCTAAATTCCTGATTCTCTTGCCTCCACCCCACCCCAGAATGCCAGAACTTTCTCTCTCTCTCTCTCTCTCTCTCTCTCTCTCTCTCTCTCTCTCTCTATGTATATATATATACATATATATATATATTTGTTTGTTGAGAAAGGGCTTCTCTTTGTAGTTTTGGAACCTGTCCTGGAACTCGCTCTGTAGACCAGGCTGGCCTTGAACTCACAGAGATCCACCTGCCTCTGCCTCACGAGTACTGGGACTAAAGGCTTCAGAACTATATTTATGATTTGTTATAGTAATACAGTAATATTTGTTTTGTGTATTTATTTTATGATGTAGGTGGGTCTTCTGTCTATGTGTTACTTTCATTGGTCGAATAAAGAGACTGCCTTGGCCTTTGATAGGACAGCAGCTTAGAAAGGCAGAGTAGACAGAACAGGATGCTGGGAGAAAGAAGCAGAGTCAGGCAGACGCCATGATTCCCTTTCCTGAGACTGACGCTGACTAGACTCATGTCGGTAAGCCACGACCTTGTGGTGACATACTGGTTATTAGAAATGGGTTAATTAAGATGTGAGAATTAGCCAATATGAGGCTAGACATAATGGGCCAGGCAGTGTTTAAATGAATACAGTTTCCGTGTAATTATTTCGGGTAAAGATAGCCGGGAGCTGGACGGTAAGAAGCAGCCTGTCACTCCATTTGCAACAATTTTATATATATTATATTTATATATATAAATATAGCTAGGTGATGGTGGTACAGGCCTTTAATACCAGCACTTGGGAGGCAGAGGCAGGCAGATCTCTGAGTTTGAGGTCAACCTGGTCTACAAAGTGAGTTCCACGACAGCCAGGGCTACATGGAGAAACCCTGTCTTGAACTGCACCCTGCCCCTGGAATTGTTTTATTTTTCTCAAACAGGGCTTCTGAGTGGGAAAAGGTTACGAATCCTTGAGCTAAATGGCACACTTGAGAGGAAGGCGGGACACCCTACAGACATGGTGCAGACCACCCAACACCGGCAATATGGGAAGAGCACCTATTAAGAAATTGTAATTGCTACCCTCCAAACATGACGTATGCTGTCATTTTCATTGGGACTACTTCCCAGTGACATGCCCACTGTGCTTGCCGACGACTGCCGCTCCCTCAGAAGGGGAGAGCGCCATTAGACCCTCACTCAGGACCCCAGGGGCTCCCTCCTGCACCTCTCGGTCACTGTATGTGACTGTGTCCTAACTGCTGTGGCTTGGAGGTGCCACAGCTTACTGAGGGAGTAGGGGAAGTCACCCTCTAGGCTGGAGCACGACATTTTGGTGGCACAGCCGCTACAGGGTCTCCCCATTCTGTAAGCCCATAACAACCAGGGGTGGCCCAAGTTGTACTTTGGTGGGATCTAACTTTGGCTGCTGCTGGTGCCCTACAGAGAAGATACAGATATTGCTACTTCTCTCCTGGCAAAGAGTCCCCTAAACACAGGGTTAAAAGAGACTCAAGGTCACTTGCTGCCAAGCCGGACAACCTGAGCTTTATCCCTGGATCTCACACGGCGGAAGGCGAGGACGGACTCCTGCATGTTGTCCCTGGACCTCCACACCCCCCTCCTGACACATACACAAATACAGATGCACACTAAATAAATGTAAAAGAAATTTAAAAGATTTTTAAGATAACGTATGCAGTCATTCCTTCCTAAGAGTGCACTAAGGGGAGGGGGAAGGGAAGTAGTTTCACAATGGCAATGTCTGGCAAACATTCCCTCGATCAGGTCACGCAGGTGAGTATTAGGAGAGCTACGTCACACTGGCGTTAAATGCTCCTGACAAGGTGTGGTAAAAGTAGCTCTTTCCTTACATATCAAAACATAAGAGAGACATCACATTGGGCATGGTGGCACCAGTCTTTAATCCCAGCACTAGGTAGGCAGAGGCAGGAGGATCTACGTAGGGAGCTTCAGGTCAGCCTGGGCTACACAGTGAGATCCTATCTCAGACAACACCTCCACCACTCCAGCCCCAGTGAAGACATGACGATCAGGTCACGTAGGCCATGTCGGATACTAGGCCAGAATAAGGGTATTAGGAAAAACTGAAGGACAATTGACTAATCTAAAGACTGCCTAATAATGAATCAATACTGGCTCATTAATTAAAGCAAACGTACCATACAGTGGAGGAAGTTAAGAACAGGAAAAAGTGGGTGTGGCTATGTGGGAACATTTATGTGTGAAATTCTTTCTTCTTTGCTGAGAAAGAGCTTTGAGTGGCGCAGGCTGGGCCTGGCTATGTGGCCGGAGATGCGTTCCAGCTCCTCACCACCTGTCTCCATCTCCTGGGCGCTGGGACCGCAGGGAAGGCCACCACACATGCTACTGGCTGAGCTATACCACAGCCTCTTCAAGTTTCCTCAACTTATTCCTAAATGAAAAGTTTATTTGGGACAGAAAGAGATCTCTCTAAAGGACATAGCCAGACGAAATGTACATGGCCCAAACTGGACCCTCATGTACACAAACCAACAACAAGAAAGGTCCTTTAGGCCTGCCAGATGGCTCAGTGGCTATAGGCACTTGCCACCAAGCATTCTACCCTAGGACTCACGTGGCCGAGGAACTGACTCTACAGGTTGTCCTCTGAAAGCCAGGGATGGTGGTTCACACCTTCAGTCCTAGAATCTACGAGGCAGACAAGTTTCAGGCCAGCCAGGGCTACATAGTGAGACCCCGTCTCAAAACAACAACAACAAAACTCTCCTTTGATCTGGTACAGACCCTGCCCTTCTCCCATAAAGAAAGTTCTTCAGAGCATTGTTAGAGATGTGCACAATCAGATATAAAATCTTCCAGTGCTGAGGATTGGCCCAGAGAGCCACAGCCATGTGGGCACATGCACCATAATACAGGTGCTCCATCACTGAGCCACAGTCCAGTCCTGAAGTCATTCTTACTAAGGGTTTCTTTCCCAGTGTAGATAGGGTTCCTTTCATACTATCTGGGGAAATGGTAGTTTTAAACATATTGCTGGCCTTTAGTGGTGCACATCTTTAGTTCCAGCACTCAGGAGGTGGAGGCAGGTGGATCTCTGTGAGTCTGAGGCCAGCCTGGTCTACAGAGTGATTCCAGAATAGCCAAAGTGTTACACAGAGAAACCTAACTCAAAAATAAACAAACAAAAGTATGTGCTAAAAGAATTTTGGTTTGTTCTTAAATTCTAAACTTCTTCCGATGACCTGGACCTAAAGTCCTGTGTTATAACCTCTCTAACTTCACTCCACCCCATCTGACTCCTCACTTAAAGCAGCCCCAATATACCTGCCCCCCCAACACCTTCCTGCTTAGGGCCTTTGTCCACACTGCACATCCACGAAGGCCAAAGCTGACGTAACGCCGCTTCCTACTGCTCCATCTGGCTTGTTTGTTCACACCTATCTCCCCCTTCTAGAACAAGAACTCCTTCAGGGCAAAGGCTTTTCCCCAAAATGTTCACCGTCTCTCCAGAACTTGGTCCAGTACCTTCCTTAGCTATCATTGGGCAGAGGAGATGGCTCAGTGGGTAAAAGAGCTTGCCATGCAAACCTGACAATCTGAGTTCCATACCAGGAGCCTACATTTAAAAAAATATATAGATGCAGCGATGAGCATCTGTAATCCCAGCACTCTTAGGAGAGACGAGAGGTTGAGACAGGAGGATCAGCTAGAAGCTCATGCTGCTCCTCACAGAAGAAACAAGAGAGCCCACCTCAGCAAACTGGAAGCAAAGAACTGGTAACTACGACTACCTTATTTCATTCATTCGTTTGTCCATTCATTCATTCAGACACAGAATCTTACTATGTGACCCTAGGTGGCCTAGATTTTTTTTTTTTTTTCGAGACAGGGTTTCTCTATAGCTTTGGAGCCTGTCCTGGAACTAGCTCTTGTAGACCAGGCTGGCCTCAAACTCACAGAGATCCACCTGCCTCTGCCTGCCGAGTGCTGGAATTAAAGGCTTGCGCCACCACCTAGAATTTAATACGCAGACTAGGGTGGTCTTGAACTCATAGACATTCAGCTACCTACCTCTTCTGGAATAAAAGGCACGTGCCACCATACTCACTGGAAACTGACTTTTGAAAAACTGTCCTGACTTTCATGCATACGCTGTGGTGTACACACCCATACTTACCCACACACACATGCAAATACACACACACAAAGTTAAAAGAAAACCTATCATGAATAATTCAAATGGTCTTACAATCATCTAAGCCCAGGGGTACTAAGCTATGTCACCTTTGCGCCTCTTGATATGCAAGAGCAAGCTCCAAACGCCTTCCAAAGCAGTTTCAACTGGCTTCCTTGCTTAGTATCTTTTCTAAGAGGAAGCAAAGACACAAAGAGCTGGCAGTGAGTCCCAGAGCTGGACTAGCTGTGACCCCGACAATGTTTGGAGGAGGCAGTGGCACACATATCTGGGAGGTCTGCCCTGGCAGATGAGATTCCTAGCCTAAAGACTAACTTGTTTCGTGACAGTGACTTATTCTATATCCCAGGCTGGCCTCCGAGTCACAGCAATTCTCTTGCCTCAGCCTCTCATAATGCTGGGTTTACAGGCGAATGCCATCACGCCTGGCTGAAGAATTCACTTATAAGTCTCTGATGTCGCTTTAGCCCGTATCTAGGGGCCGGCCTATTCCTTACCAACAGCAAATTTCACTAGCGTTTCGTTCTCTTCTGACAGCGAATCGAGGAATAGGTCTAGGACTTGCAGCTGCCGCAGATACTCGTAGTTGCCCGGGTCATAGGCGAAGTTGGCGAGGTTGGCGAGGACTTGTTCCTTGGCATCTGCAATGGAAAAGCGGTACTGGGGTTGGGCCCGTGCAGCAGCTGCTATAGGAGCCCTGCCCGGTCCCTCGCGCCCACCCCATACCTCTCACCTTGGCTCTCGGTCTCCTGGAACTCATTGACCAGCGCCTGCAGGTACCCTAGCCGCCCGACGTGGGGGTCTACCTTCGGTTTCTGTGCCATGGCTGGAGCGGCGAAGGAGCCGGGAGGACGGGTGGGAAGGAAGAGGCCACAAGGTCGCGCAAAACCCTCGCCTGGACCCTGATCTGTCCTGGGGGAGACAGAGCGGAAGGCAAACCCGGTCTGGTCCTGGGTTCCGAATCTGCAGTGATTGGCAGCTGGAGATGAGATCTGGGGATGGGTAGGGATCTCAGGATCCTGGCAGAGCCGGGTAAGGACTGGAAACCAGAGGCACACCCCTCACCTCCCTCTCCACGCCGCTTCCGGGCTCAGGGCGGAAATCGCTCTATCCCCGCCCCAGGGAGCGGAAGGGGCAGAACCAGAAAGGATTGGGCGTGGTTACTAAGCGTCTCCTGGGCTTCCCCGGCGATTTTGCAAGCTCCAGGCTTTAGGCGTCAGTAGCGGAGTCGCGGGGCTGCGGAGACTGAGGGAAGAGGGAAGGCGGGGCGGAGGGAAGGCGGGGCGGAGGGAAGGCGGGGCGGAGGGAAGG